CCACTGGTACCTACCTTTTCCAGTAGGTTAATGTAATTGTGTTTTCCTTAATGTAGTTGCACTTTGCTTTATGTAGTTTTGTTTTACTTAATGTAGTTGCGCTTTGCTTTATGTAGTTTTGTTTTTCTTATTGTAGTTGCGCTTTGCTTTATGTAGTTTTGTTTTTCCTAATGTAGTTGCGCTTTGCTTTATGTAGTTGCGATTTCCTTAATGTAGTTGCGCTTTGCTTTATGTAGTTTTGTTTTCCTTAATGTAGTTGCGCTTTGCTTTATGTAGTTTTGTTTTTCTTATTGTAGTTGCGCTTTGCTTTATGTAGTTTTGTTTTTCTTAATGTAGTTGCGCTTTGCTTTATGTAGTTTTGTTTTTCTTATTGTAGTTGCGCTTTGCTTTATGTAGTTTTGTTTTTCTTATTGTAGTTGCGCTTTGCTTTATGTAGTTTTGTTTTTCTTATTGTAGTTGCGCTTTGCTTTATGTAGTTTTGTTTTCCCTAATGTAGTTGCGCTTTGCTTTATGTAGTTTTGTCTTTCTTATTGTAGTTGTGCTTTGCTTTATGTAGTTTTGTTTTTCTTATTGTAGTTGCGCTTTGCTTTATGTAGTTTTGTTTTTCTTAAAGTAGTTGCGCTTTGCTTTATGTAGTTTTGTTTTCCTTAATGTAGTTGCGCTTTGCTTTATGTAGTTTTGTTTTTCTTATTGTAGTTGCACTTTGCTTTATGTAGTTTTGTTTTCCTTAATGTAGTTGCGCTTTGCTTTATGTAGTTTTGTTTTTCTTATTGTAGTTGCGCTTTGCTTTATGTAGTTTTGTTTTTCTTAATGTAGTTGCGCTTTGCTTTATGTAGTTGCGATTTCCTTAATGTAGTTGCGCTTTGCTTTATGTAGTTTTGTTTTTCTTTATGTAGTTGCGATTTCCTTAATGTAGTTGCGCTTTGCTTTATGTAGTTGTGATTTCCTTAATGTAGTTGCGCTTTTAGATTTGTAGTTGCAGTTTGCACTTCAGGGCCACCGTAGATTTGTAATGTAAAGAAATACAATACTTCACTCAAAACGTAATCAAGTAAAATTGAAATGACCGATTTTAAAAAACTACTTGAAAAATACAAAATACACAAAAAAACTCCTCAATACAGTAACTTGAGTAAATGTATTTCGTTACTTTCCACCTCTGGAAAAAGGTGAGCATAATATTATGGCCACGGTGGCACAGCTTAAATAAAAAGATGAAAATGTTTTAAAGGAGACTTGAACATGAGGGGATATTAGTCGGTTTTTTTGCCACATATATAGATAGATAACAGGCGAAAGAGAGGAAGATGAATGTATGTGGTGGAGCTGGCAGAGCTGCTTTTATCCCACCCACACTCTCCACTCCTCTTTCTTCTACAGTTTCCATTGACACTCTACCTTTTTTGTTTTAGCCTCAGGAAGAATCTAATGTTTTTCTTTTTGTTTTTTACGTATAACACTGGCTTCATTATAATCTTCCACTTAAAAAAATTATTTTCATTTCAACCAATGAACAGCGATTGTCTTTTAAAGAAATGCCAACTTAAGCAGGAGTAAGAATTGAAACCCCGGGAAGAGCTCACCTCTGTTAACAAAATTGGCTCTGCAGATTCTTGGCATGAAATGCTGAAAATGAACCACATAAGATCGGAATAATCTCCTCAACAGATGCCAGTTTTTACCAGCCAGATGGACAGAGACTTACTGTGTCAATGCTGGATAAAAACGGGCAAATAACCAAGCCAGATCCAGCCATGTGTGTTTAGTACGACAGTTACTTGAAGGAAATAGACATTTTGTTGCCTCTTTAAGCTCTTCACCTGCCTATTACAGTCATTTCTATGCTTTATCAAGGTGTATGTTTAGTAAACGACGCTACGTCAGAGATACTCTGTCATTATGAACAGATATGACGAATGTAAGCGGAAGTAATCAGACCACTAAAAAGCCAAATCTCCATCCTGCAAAGTAAAATAGTTTCCAGCTTTTATTTATTCTAAAACATCTGGCGAATATTTCAACTGTCAGATCATCTGCAGAAACATAACTTCTTGTCAATAACAAATTACTGCATTTTATGCCGTTGATCACATTATCTTATTGATCAGACTGAAACTAGTTCTTTTTTGGAATTAGAGAAATCGCCAAACCGTTGTTAAAGTCTGGGGAAATTCAGTTTGCGCCTCTAAATAAAGAACCAATAGGAGTCCTCCTGATGCTTGGTTGAATACTTTTTTGGATTAAAGATGGGTAACACAATCAGGTAACAGAGGATACGTTTTCCTCGCTATGCAGATGATATCCAGCATATCTCCACATTAGCCCTGATTCTCATGATTCTGCCCTTCCAGGACCTTTTGGTTCTGTGTTTTTTTTTCTTTTTGGGTTCTCATTTATGCTCGATTTCATGTTATCCTGTGTTTTTCAAGATGTATATCATCTTTGAATACTTAGTTTTTCTCTCCCTTGTTATTTCTTTCAGTTTTCTAATTTTTAAAAATTATTTATTTATTTTTAGTTAGTCGTTAGTTTTATTTCCTTTGGCTTCATTTAAGTTCTTCCTAGTAACAGTTGGTGATTCTCAGTCATCCAGGTCATAGTCATTTCTAAAAAAGTTAAAAACAATCCACTGGACTTTGTTTCCAAGTTTGAAGACATTTCTCTTCCCATCCAGGGAGCTTTTTCAATTCAAAATGTCCGAAATAGCGTTGAGTTCCAGAGGATGTCGGCAGCAATTTGAGTATTGATCAGGCTGCCAGCAGTGGTTGACAAACTCACAAAGGCTGTGAACGAGCAGGACCGTGAGCTGAACCGTATGCTGGGTGCGATCAAACGCAAGTAGGGTGTGGTGGTTGAACTCAAATGTGAGATGAGATAATATCTTGGATGTGCACGCTCGCTTTAAGGCACAAAAGCCCAACAAAGTCAAAATATTGGATGGAATACGTGAGCCCAACAACAAAATAACTCAGGCAGGTTGCTCTCAAAACAAAAGTTTATTTTGAATTTTTGACTCTCACTTATCAAAAATCCCTGCATGTTATGGCGGAAGGGCCCAAAACTGCCTCCCCATCCCTCCCCTACTGCAGACACCTGTGGATGCGTCCAGAGCTATAGCGCCAGTTGATGAACTTCCATCTTATTAAAGGACAATGGCCCTGGACAGCATTCAAACTGAACACACTCACTCACACACGCACAACTGATGATCAAATACCAGATAACCTCAAATGTGACTCCCGCCTCCAGTGTTTCCCTATGCTGAATTTTTTGTCTCGTGTTTATGTGTGCTTTTCTTTTGCTGAGGTGCAGTGGAATCATTTCTGTACAAATGCTGTTTAAATAATTCGTTTATAGTAATCAAAACCAGACTTAAACAACTGTTTGGCGGTTTTTCTAATTCCAAAAAAGAACTAGTAATCAAGAAATCCCCCCACTCCCACACCCCCTGAAGAAAGACATCCCAACTGCAAGACGCTGCCAGCTGCCGACATCTTATCTCATGTGTTCAGGAAACTATGTAGCATTAGGTCTCTTTTAACAGCTGATCTACTGGTTTTCGTTTTTTTTTTTATAAAAAAAAAAAAAAGAAAACCTTTTTTTTTTTCCTCTAAAAAATAAGATAACTCACAATCATTCTGTAAAACTTATATAGCTGTTTCCTCACTAATGTTTCCCAACAAGCCTCAGATTCCTTCACAGAGCAGCTGAATTGATAGAAATAACATTCATTTGATTAAACAGGTAAACTGAGAAGAAAATCAGCTGCAGTACATTTTCTTTATGGGGGTTCAGGTAAAGGGGCAGTGGGTAGCGCTGCTGCCTTGCAGCAAGAAGGTTCTGAGTTTGATTCCCGGCCTGCGGTCTTTCTGCATGGAGTGTGCATGTTCTACCTGAGAATGTGTGGGTTCTCTCCGGGTACTCCGGCTTCATGATTCTAATGTGACAGTATGTGAAAAGGATCAAAGAGTAGTGATGCATTTGCAAAGCGCTGTATCTGAACGGCTAAGAGTCTCATTAAAGGAATAGTACACCCAGAACATGATTAGCCTTCATTTTCCACTCACCCCCATGCTGAACGACACTCTGGAGTACTTTTTTGATATCTCAAATGCATCTGGAGATCTGGGAGGCTTCTTGCTGTCTGCTGACATTCAAATAATGGAGGTCTATGGCGCCCGAGACAGAAAGGTCCATAAAAGTCCACAAAAAACGTGTCAATATTCCTCCATACTGCTCGTCCAATGGATTCCAAGTGTCCTGAGTGGGTAGCGTCCAGAATTTACTCGAAACGAAGTCATTTAGAATGTTTTTAGAGCATAAACAGTAGTGTATAGGATTTCCTAAAAGCGCGTTCACGAGTCTACGGAAACCGCGGCAGACCAAACCAGATTAAAGTGCGCATTCAGCGTCTGCTCTGCCGATAATGCAAGCGTAGAAGAAGAAATGTGCTGTTTACCTGTGCAAAGAAAGAAACAACGAAAGAAAAATGTCTGAGGACTTCAGTGTTGAGGGAGAGCATGAGTTCTTTGCCGAGCTGAATGCGCACTTTCATCTGGTTTGGTCTGCCGGTTTCCGTAGACTCGTGAACGCGCTTTCAGGAAATCCTATACACTACTGTTTATGCTCTAAAAACATTCTAAATGACTTCGTTTCGAGTAAATTCTGGACGCTACCCACTCAGGACACTTGGAATACATTGGACGAGCAGTATGGAGGAATATTGACACGTTTTTTGTGGACTTTTATGGACCTTTCTGCCTCGGGCGCCATAGACCTCCATTATTTGAATGTCAGCAGACAGCAAGAAGCCTCCCAGATCTCCAGATGCATTTGAGATATCAAAAAAGTACTCCAGAGTGTTGTTCAGCATGGGGGGCAGTAGAAAATGAAGGCTAATCATGTTTTGGGTGTACTATTCCTTTAAACTCTGAGGCTGAATCACGTGAAGCACAATACCTGAATAAAACATTAAGAACTACAGAGAGTGTGGAAGTTACCTTCTCTGGTCCTCAGCGAACTCAGGTTAGGTGCATCAACACTGGCCTGCACACAATACACCTCTCTGGTCTGGATCCCCCCCCCACACAAGCCTGTCAGGTTTCCACGGCGACGGTCCTGCTGGCTCAGCAGCACGTCCACCCTGCACTCCGTCCACTCCGTGGTCTTCCAGGTGTAGCTGATGACACATGTTGACAGATAAAGAGTTAGCTCAATGGCACACGAACCAAAAAAAAATAATCCTCATTCTGCTGAGTTGGAGACAGAAAATCTGCACCTGATTGGGAACAAAGTCATGCTGGTTATTAGCCATTTCGTTCTCAGTCTTCATAATCTCTTCTATACCCTTACACACTGCAAAAAATTACAATCGAAATAAATAATTTTTTATTAAAATAGGTGCATTTTTCCTTGAATTGGGGGTCAGTGAGACAGTTTGCCAGTTGCACAAGACAGCTTACATTCAGAAATAAGAAAAAACTGTGCATATTATCTAATTATCTTATTTTAAGAGTAAAAAATACAAATTCCACTGGCAGATCATCTCAGTTACCTGCTCAAATTAAGAGTAAATACACTTAATTTTAGAAATTTTGATTCGTTTCCATAGTTTTTTGCGGTGCAGGGTTTATATATGGATTGGTTTCTGTTGAACTTCAAACATATAAGAAATCTACGACGGAGTATGAGGGCCACACATGAAGAGAAAAAATATTTTTGCCATGACGAGATTAAACTCAACATTTCGAGAATAAAGTTGAAATTTAAGTTGACTTTAAACTCGTCCTGTTCTCAAATTCAGAACTGCGAGCCTGGGTAAGCATAGGGAAAGACGTTACGTTATTATTGGAAGGCCACCGCTTCCTGTGATGATTATAGAGTTGCAGCACGTCAAAGACTACCTTCACTCTTAAAATGCAGACTGCAGCTGTGGAGCGCGGTTGCTCTTTTCTCCAAACTTTGGAATGTCGAGATTAAAGTCGCCACGATATATCAACTTTATTCTCGAAATGGCGAGTTTAAAGTCGACACGTCGAGATTAAACTCAACAAGACATTTCAACTTTATTCTCGAAATGTTGAGTTTCATGTCGACATGTCGACTTTAAAGTCAACATGTCAAGTTTAATCTCGTCATGGCAAAAATATTTTTTCTCTTCATGTGTGGCCCTAATACTCCGTCGTAGAAATCAGATACGTCTCTGAAAGAAAATAAAACCATATAAAAGAAGTCTCCACTTTGCATTCTTCCTGCGGTTTTTTAATCTTTGCAAATGAAAACTTAAGAGTCATTATAATCTAGAGCTCCTCTTGTGGTTTAATTCCCACATAACTCTCCCAGAGGAGGTTTTCAGTTTGGATTAGCTGTGCAGGCTCCAATCATGCTCTTACAAATAAAACAGGACAGAAAATAAAAAATAGTTTGAAGAAAATAAACTAGTGGAGCTGTGGAAGAGATTGTAACTGTGCAGTGTAAGAGGAATCTTGGAGTTTCCCAACGTTTTTTTTATTTTTATCTCCTACTGAGGGTAAGGCAACACTAAAAATAAGAAACCAACATCTAAAAAAGCAGCGTGTGTTCTGGTCTTTATTGATAAATTATTTATTCTCAGAAACCTAATGCAGCACATCCAGGGTCAGCAGCTACGACCAGGTCAGAATAATCAGCATCTACTAAAGGAGTTTAAATCCTCTGAATGAATCCAGCCAAAACTTTATTTTCATGGACCTCCAAGGACCCGGTCCAGATAGACCAGGTCCAGGAATCGTACACATCCCAGGATATCTGCTGCATCTCATCTATTAAGAAGTTGGTTTAGTTAACACTGCAAAAATGATCAAGAAATAAGTAAAAATTTCTTAAATAAAGTTTATTTACCCTTAATTTTAGTATGTAAATAAAATGATTTGCCAATAGATTGAGCGTGTTTACTCTTAAAATAAGGTAATTAGATAATTTGCGATGGTAATAACTTTTTTTTATTTCAAATGTCAATTGTCTAGTTCCATTGGCAAAGTGTCTCACTTACCTCCTCATTTTAAGACAAAATGCACTTATTTTAAGAAACAATGACTTTAAAATATGATTTATCATTTTTCCAACATTCAGCTTTTTTTCTTTCCATTATATTCAACATCCAGCAGTCTAATGGCAGTGGGGAAGAAGCTGTTTTGGAATCAAATGCTGGACCTGCATGATGCTTCGAAGCCTCTTCCCAGAGGGCAGCAGCGAGAACAGTCCATGGTGGGGGGGTGAGGGGTCATTGATAATATTACGGGCTTGGGACATGCAGCACTGGGATGAAATCTCTTTTATGGAGGGAAAAGGAGCCCCAATGAACTTCTCTGCTATTCTCCCTACTCTACTCAAATTCTTTCAGTCTGAGGCACTGCAGCCTCCACACCACACAGTGAGACAGTTGGTCAGAACGCTCTCTATGGTGTTTCTGTAGAAGGTGGGGAGGATGGGTGGGGGCAGGTGGGCTGTCCTCACCCTCCACAGAAAGTACATGCACTTTTGTAGAGGGACATTTTTAAGCAGGCCTTTTGTGTAAATTGCCATGGAAGCTAAAGGCCTCCTAGAAGATAATTCTGGTTTAGTCCTAAATCCTTTCAATGTTTTCTCAACCCTCAGGTTGACCTCTCTGTACGAACAGATACATCTTAAATAAGAACACAGCTATGTTGGATCTGAATATGTAAAAGCAGCTTTTCTTTATAACCCACTGATGGCGATTGGTCCAAGCAGCTCCTTGGTCAGCCTGAAATTCTGGACTTCGTTCATTGATTGACGATAATCTCTTTAGATTCTGGTCTTTTTTTAACCGCAAATGTATATTTAAGATGCTGTTGCTCACAGATAGCCGTGGTTAGTTAACCTGACTCCGCCAGATGGATTTGCTCCGCATATCCATCTGGAAACCTTCCGTTGAAGTAATTTTGGGAAGGGGCGAAAATACTGGTTAGCTGATTGGCCTATGTTGGTGATAGACGGGCCAAATAAACCAATCAGATCAACGAAGCATATGACGTACTAACAGAGCGACGACGAAGAGGAGCCAATTGATAGATCAAACTCTTGCCGAAACCAGTCGGGAGAAGAGCAAAAACATATTTTCCGCTGAGAAAAGCCTCCAGAGCAGTGTTTTGCTCTTCTTTCAGTGAAGAAATACTCTGTAATTCCGATAAAACTTGCTCGATAGCCACGCTAATGCTAGTTTCATCGGCTGAAGCCGCCATGTTCTTTAGACTGAACTGTCGCGCTTCTCGTTGCGTCACACCTCAACCCGCCTCAAAGCCAACGCTGATTGGACGTTCGTTTGGTGAACGGCTCCAAATTTTCTTTAACGGAGAGTCTCCAGACTGATCTGCGAGTGAAACCTTGAAAGCTCGCGAGATCAGGATGGTCTCACGAGGCTAGTGGTTAGTAGGTCATAAGTGAATTAAGGGGCATATTCTCTTAATTTTACATTATTTCATTGAAGATGCTGTGTCAACACAGATCGGGTTTCATTCCTGGTGCCTACATTCTTATTGCTGCTCAAAAGAGAATGTCCATTAGCTGTTTAAAAAACACACTAGCTCTCTAACAACCAAAGTGGCCACTTAGCAGAATCCGGCTCACTGATGGTTCACTTTATTGCTGGAATGATGAGCTGTGTAAAATGTTCCCTCTATAATGCAGCCTTGCCAAGACTCTCCTCTGATTCTCTTCTAATGGAAGAAAAAAATGTGGTATAAATAAGCTAAAACATCTAACATGTTAACCCCTTGTTACCAAGGCTGTACTGATCAATGTCCAAAAACCTTTAAAAAGACAAGCGCTAATATTTCTTCTCAGGCGAGCCTTTATGTCCTTCGCAGCTACAACAGCCAGAGAATAAAGGACATTTCCAGCCATAATTTGCTCTATTATGTCGACACCAAACATGCCTTCTGTAAGAGTGGATCGGCCTGACAGAGAAGCCCACTAAAGGGTTTCAGCGAGGCTGGAGGGAAACACTTTGCAGCTTTTTGCTGTCTCTCCTCTGCCAGAAAAACAGCAAACTCACCCGAGCAAAATGGACGAGCAACTTAAACTCTTGAGCTTTCTGTCCTTGTTGATTTTAAATGTCTGATTTCCAACAAAATCATAGAGACCATCTGACCCCATCTCAAACGCTCACAGCTTTTAGTTTTGTTTGAGCCTCACAGGTTATTAGAACTCTGATTTTTTTTGCAGAAGCGCTGGGTTTTATTTTATTTTTCTCGAAAAGTGGAAAACTCTGTTAAGCCTTTCAGAAGAAGAACTGAAAACAAACAACTGATATAAAACAAGTATTGCTTTAAAATACTCAGGTCTACATAAAGCTTTTTGATACCACTGGTGGTACCTGTTGCATGAGTTAACTCCTCCCTGAAGTGAGGAAATGTGAAGGACGGGTTGAGTGAAGGCCAATTCTTCCACTTCTTATCAGTATTCTCCTCTTCCTAATCTTCTCTCGGGTATGAAAAAAAAAATCCAAGTATTCCAATCAGATATAGGAGTTTTATTCATTCAGTCAGCTGCTCCAAATCTAGATTTTCACTAAATGACCACATTTGTTGTTACTTAGAAGCAATTGTCCATTTTATATCTGCATCATTCTTTATTCTAAAGCTCTGCAATTAAAAAAAACATTTTCATACACTGATGAAAACACTACGGGTCACTACACCTGCAGCCAGCATGTCGGTATCGAGAGGACTCTGGTTTCATTTGTTGTCATTTGTTCAAAACAAAGAACAGTCTGTGAGTCTCAGTGAGATCAAGCTACTGATGGAAGGACATCTGGAACAGAAAATAGATGAAAAGTTCAAAAAGAACGTTCTGCTTCTTGAAACAGTCCAACATGCCTTCAGTTCACTTTGTCATTACACTAAATTTAGAATGTTTTAGTTTGAGTTTGTCTGAATTCATCAAATTTCAGTTTAGCTTTTTTTAAGCCTGGCGTACACAGTACGATATTTCCAATCGTTGCACGCAGCTACAGCTCACACTGTACGATGAAACCGCAGGGTTTAAAAGGTCACAGCTCATCATGTTTGTTCTCACACTGTGTGACCCGACGCCCCAATGCGATCTACCTGCTCACACTGTACGTCTAAAAAGCAGGTGGGACTCAGCTCCGCTGTGAGATGGCGCTACTCGGACTCGTCT